GACGTACAGACAGATAAACAAGTGAGGAAATCATCAAAATGAACAATGGGATGAGTCGATGTACTCAAATTTCCCTAGAAACCATTCCCATACCTACAGACTGACAGACATTCTTAACTTCTTTCTAGTTTAGATAAACATGATAACAAAAGATGAAACATTATTTGACGTAAAACATGTAACATATTTTTACTTACACTAACGCCGTCTCTCATTTTTGAAGCATGATGCATCAAGCTTCATGGTGAAAATCACAATGGAAGAATTTTCTCTAAAGTTTAATGAATTTCTTTTTTGTTTATTCAATTTGTAAAAGTTATGTGCTTCCTAATGTGCTGCGCAATTTACACTTTAGACAGATTTAATCTCATAAAGAATCCCCAACAATGGTGCAATATTTAATAAATGCTTTAACGTGTTTGCTTTCTACAAGCTTTCCTCGTTATTTATCATCTGCAAACTTTCGAATCAATTTGTTATTAAATTTGCGAAGCGGAAGAAGAAAGTCATGACAAACAGAAAATTCTTTTTTTCATGAATGGAGCATTCAAAAAAGTACGAGATGAACACGATGAATAAATTGAAATTATTTTTTATCTCGTCGTTTGCAAATTGTTCTTTATGCTGGTCATACAAATTCAACTGTAATTGTAGAATGCTCGAGGAAATGAAATCAAGATAAGAGTTTGCAGCAACGAAAATGTAAATGATGTAAATTTTTATTCAGTGAAACGAAATGCGAAGGCGTTTCTGGATGTTTTTTTTGAACGTTTTGTTCCCATCAGGCTATCAAGTTTTATTCCTTTTACCATTAATAGGTTTTCTTCCCACATTCTGTTATTTTTATGAATGAGACTGATTGAATCATGTCTTCACAATTTAAGTAATGAGATTACCCGAAGCAATTGATTTTGTTCTTAAATTTAATCTTGAAGCATTTATCTTTTTAGCTTACACGAGCTGATGTTCTCATGTACTCAAATAAATCTTAGGTATTATTTATCATTTGAATCAATTACGATCTTGATGAATTATTTATAAGATCAATTTTGGATCTGTTTATAAATTACGAATTTAAACCTTAACTGTGTTAACATTAGATAGTGCTGAGACTGAAACCTAGAGTTGCATTACCTAATCTGTCATCGAATCAATCAACTTTACATCTTGACAACAATCTTAGATTTCTCATTTTCTTTTTCAAAAACTCTACAGTATTTCCACTACTGTTAATTACAACTTTACCGTCTTGTAATTTTACATTAGATCATCTTGTCATTGCAAAAGCTTAATTAAAGGAACTGATGCTTTTTATTTTACCTCTGAGAAATTTTTGCTTGCATTTATAGCTAAGAGCATGACTGCAGTTGCTAATAGTTATGTGATTGCTTTAATAAAGCAGATCAATGAAGCTTGCCATTTGTTGTCATTGTGCTTTTAATTCCATGAAGTAGTAACCATAAAGACAAATGAGTATAGCCATGATAAGCAAAATTTCATAATAAGCACTACTAACATTCCCTTAAAAATGATTCTACCTTCCAGTCCTGTTTTATATCTTTTTATTCCATATAAGATTGTTGGCTAAACCATTTAATACGGAATGCATGCTACTTCCTATCTACGTATTTTCATCAGATATATCGTATAAATTCACAGAAAACCCCAACGAGGAGATTATGTTGCACAAAAAAAAATATTTTCAGTATTGTGCGTATATGTACAGATGTGGGAAAGAAGGATGAAATTTCAGATGTTAAGGTGAAGTACAAGGTTTTTCTCGGGTTTTTACCATCAAAAATATAAAGTTGTCTTTTATTGCGAATATTCTTCGTATCCGTTCTTTTTATGTTAGTCAACAGATGAGCTTTAATAACATAAAGATGAACAGTTCAGTTTATACGATGACTAAGCAACAAGTTTTGTAATGGGGAAAATTTCTTTTCGGTGGATATGCTTAAACAAAGAGATTGCTTTTGCTGGTTGTGCATGTATATTGATTTCATTTTGATTCTATGGCACAAATGTCTAAGTTAATATTGAATATTAATTCAATTTATTTTATGATGATGTCTCATCAACGCTCGATCCAGTTGATTAGACTGAGACGATAATCCTTTGGAGATTCCTTGTTGATTCATCTCGTGCTGCTCACTTACTTACATTTTTTGCTGTAAAATATTTTTCTTATAAATTGTTGGAAATTTTTTTAACTCAAAATATTAAAGACATAATCAACAGGGAATGGACAGCGTGGAGTATGATCATATTAAGCTATAGTTTATCATTACTTTGGTCTTTAGAGATGCTCAGTTGATTCAGTTTTAAAAACTGCTAGGAAAATAATAAAATGGACAAATTGGGGTAGGTAATGGAAGTGAAATGTGGAAATTAATAGGACATATCCTTTCGTGCATAATTAATGGATGATTCTTGGTATGAATCATTTTAAAACATTAACCTGTTGATATTCATATACTTTAAATTATAAAAGCTTTGCTGATGTTGAAATTGTTTAATGACTTCTATTTAATCATGTTTAACTGTCAGTCTTTGTCATAAAAAAGTTTATGCAATCATTCGGGTAAAGAAAAAACTTCCTATAAATTGCTTAAAATTCCTTTTAAACTAATATCCCATCGACTCCCAAAAATACTGTCAATATGCGTCAAAATCATCTCCTCGACCCACTGCATGATTTATAAATGACGCATGAAATAAAACACAACTGATCTTAGTCATGATGTAGGATGTTAAAAACACCTACAAAGCAATGCATACTGTCCAAAAAAGATCCGAAAAAGATTATAAGCGTTAGATGATGCTATGCCTTATCAAAAACATTTCATAATCATCGCCGTGTTTTGTGAAAAGGATGTGTAGTTGAATGAGGATGAAATTTTTTATCGTGTTGATGGAAGTTTAAATGTGCATTCATCATTTTATGAGCAGTGCCTCTCAATTATATTGAAAATTGCAGTCTTTTCACAGATTAAGAGCCGCATATGATAAATTTTGGGTCAAGGTTTTAAATCGATTAGTGAAAAGCACGTTTTTTAACTTCAGTAAATGATTAAAAAGTCAAACACAGAGCTTAGCATAGAGATGGAATTAATGGGTGTAAAAACAGATACTGGAAGGAGTTGTTAAAAATAACAATTATGTTTACAAATTGCAAACAATTTGATTTAAGTGACTTTTTTGTCCAAACAAAACAATTCCTCACAGTCATGGAGGTGTTTTAACTTAACTCAAAACTAAGAATCAACTTACTTTATTTACCAGCAGAAATGTTGCATTCAAAACAGCTAATTTTATGCTTCAATTTTAAAACAATTAACAATTGTAAATTGTAAATAAAACAACGAATTAAATCTCGAATTGAAATGATTTTAAATTGAAATATTTCTCGAGTAGATTGAAGTAGTTCTCTATACTATCCTCAGGACAGATCATAAATAAAGTAATTAAATGATAGTAAATTTCAATTAAGAAAGGAAGAGTTGATTATTTCTATGTTTATAAAGATTCATTGTTGATTTTATTTGTTGTTGACTTTTCTTATGCTCTATAGATTTTTTTTTTTTATAAACTAAGATTTGATATGGTCGGTTCAAAAATAAATCTTAATAAATTCAGCCTTTTTATCACGAGTTGTTGAAGTTTTGATAATCTTTTCGTGTCTACGTATAGAAAGTTTTATAAGTTCAACATTGAATGTTTAATAAAACCGCAAAACAAACAGAAAATTTCAATACTACATCTTCATTTATTCAGATAGAAACAAGTGTAGAAACAAAGGATCATATCTCATGAGAAATAAGCTTAATAAACTTTCGTTATTTAATATTGTGCCATAATTCGATACACAGATCATTTCACATGAATCTAATATTTGATAACGATGGATTTCACATGTGAATATGATCTTGTGCATAGCTATTATTAAGCATGTTAATTAATTAATTTAGCAACTGCGAAATGTCAGTGATTTTCTTAAATCTTTTCTTATTATGCACGCGCGTCACAAATTTAATTATTGATATAAGAGACATTAATGAGATAGGAGACGAAGGATTGATTGATATCAATATGATTGATGTGGGTGCGATTGATTCATTCTACGTACGTAAAATAATGGGATTTCTATTATTGGAAATTTCGTACTTCTTACTTTGAAACCTTGTTGATACCAACTATTGTTTCGTCTCAAACTTTATAGGAACATCAAGTAATTTTTAGGAAAATGTTTGGCAAGATATATAGATGAGCTCATACAAAATACACTTGACCATACTCGACCATACTATTTTTGTATACTAATACAAACAAAAAAAATTTTTAAATTTTCAACTTATCATTTAAATACCGATAAATGCATAACTATTCGACTTTAGTCAGTTACTTTAATTAATAGCAAAGTATTTGCAATATTCCTGTATCAAAAAAACATAACAGAAAGTTGAAATTTAACAAAACAAAAATTGAAAACTTTCTTTCATAGTGTTAGTGTTTACAGAAAATTCAAAATTTTGTCTGTTAAAAACTGTGATATTTTTGTATGAGCATATTTATTTATCTTAATATTTGGGTTTTAGCCTGTCCCTTAAGTATAAAAGTCATTAGTTAAGGCTTTAAACATGCAAAAGTATATGTCTGCCTTTATCCCATTTAATCGTTTTAAATATAAATTCACATTCATATAAAGTCTGGCATGTAAAAGTAACAAAAGCACCATTTACATAAATCAAGTTGCTGTTAGGATGGCTTAGATTCTCACAGCCACGAAAACCTCTGAAGCGACTATTACCACAGCAAGTTGTGATGCCTGTGTTAATGTGTGATGATTTATTATTCATTGAGCAATTTAATTAATTTAAATATAAATATGAGAAAATTTGTGTGAGACCAAATTGAATTAATTAATTAATATGATTCAATCAATTGAGTTTATTATGAGTTTGGTCAATTAATTAAGGTTTTCTTTATACTCTTTTCAGAAACATGCCATCCATATGAGCCTTTCCGATGTCCATCTGATGGCAATTGTATTTCAATTCAATATTTATGTGACGGAGCACCTGACTGTAGTGATGGATATGATGAAGGTAAGCTAATTAAAATGAGACTCAAATTGCAACTTTATAAAGAATAATCAGCATGAATTTTTCATAATTTCTATTTTTCTTTTCTTCCACATTTTCTATTCTACGCCGGCAATGACCAAACATTATTAAATTGCATCACAACAACTATAAAGATATGCGGTTATGCACTGCAGGTAAGAATAAAACAGCTCACGATGCTCTTGTTGTATCTCATTTTCATTTAAAGTTGTTCTGTTCTCATTTCTTTATTCACTATTCATACTTAATTCTGTATAAATCATGCAATAAGCGAATGACTTAATGTAAAGAAATGAGCAAAAAATGAAAACGAGACACGTCTATAAAAGATTAAAAAATTTAATTACCCAGAGAGAGAGAGAGAAAGATGATGGCGAAAAAATAAAAGGAAGTAGATAAAAATGGCATATGAAATATCAAGAAGAATTGCGCATTTTGTTTGTTGAATGGACAGTGCTTTTACAAGGAAATAATTAAGCGTTAAAAGGATGGATATTTTCATTTTGTGAGATAAGCATCTGGTTTGGGAAACAATTCAGATTAATTATTTACGCATCTGAATATTTTTGGATGCTTGAATGAATTCAAGGTTTAGATCAGTATAGATAATCTTTATTTCGGCATTGATTCAATAATCTTTTCGGATCAGACAAGGTTAAGATAATGAGATTTGAGATTTCTGTCAAGTGTGGTGCTGTTTACAAATTAATACAGGATAAAGAATTTATTTTATTTGCTAATTTGATCAATTAAGATTCAGGACTGCTAAATCTGTTAAAAAATGCGGCAAATCCGAATGGTGTCTTTTCCAGCTTAATCATTGTCATTCTAAAGTTCCAGCATTACGCTAGTTTGTCAGCTATTTTTCTAGTTTCCTTAAAATAGAAATTTCCTTCAACAAATAGACTTTGTTGAAAACAAAGCAAGTAAAATTAAAACTTTTCGGGCACCAAATTCAGTAACAATAACTCTTTCAGCCCACAATCCCCAATATGTTAATTCCCTTCGGTAACTTAAATTCCACTTGATTGATTCTGTCTGTGTAGGTGTTAATTCACAAACATGTGCTGACATTATGATTCCAAGTATTACTTAATATTCAATACAATTCTCTCGAACTTTGTGAGATAAAAGAATGATTCAGCATAAAATTTGTCGCATCCAATTTCAATCAAAATACTTTTGCTGTACACATTGTTAAAACGTGCGGAAACTTAGCCAATGTTATCCAAATAGAAGGGAAAATCACTAAATTATCATGCTAACCGCCTAATATTGCAGAATAACAAGATCCCTAGTTGCTTATTCAATTCGCCTCGTAGCTATTTAAATAGCAAATATTTTTCGATGCAAATGCAGCAAAAAAATCATAATTAAAATACATTATCACCCATTTAGAGATGCAGCACGTACGAAACTATAATAGAATTGTTATGTTAAGCACTAGAAATGACGTTGATGATGATTTCCATATTTGCAAAATGTATTTCTATCCATTTATTTACAAAACAATTGCATAAAAGTTTGTTCCTCTCTTGTGCTTGATTCTGCATACATTGAGCATAAACACAAGCTTTTAAATTCAAATTTCATGTGCAACAATATGACATGATATAAATGGAATTGAGTCATGAGAAAAAAAAGAAACATTAAGAGAGCTATTTTGTTTAGTAAGGATGAACATTATTGTATAAATAGCTTGAAGCTGTTAAATAAATAAGAAAAACATTTTGGACAAAGTTTCTTTTGTTTTTGTTTTTGTAAGAATGCAAATAACATTAAACGTATACAAACTTTTTCTAATGTTTAATAGATCAAAGGCGTATACTACATAAATATGCACCAACAAAAGAAAAGAAAATTCAATTCCAACCATGCGATCTACATTTCATACATTCATTTCTAATGCCTTAAGGATGTCTTTTTGTTATTCCACACGAAAAATTGCGTGTGTGTGTGTGTGTTTGTGTATGGGTAAATAAACTTATGGAGACATTCATATTAGCCTCATGTTTTCTCGAAAAAGAGATGAATGAATGAAATTTCCCATGTGTAATGGAGTGTCAAATAAAGATCCTTGATTTCCATACAAACAATGTTATTTGTACAACCCAAGATTTCACATTGGAATGATGATAAATGATGGGAAATTACAGGTGAATAAAAGGACATTCAATTTGTTGGTAAAAAGTGAAAAATGATACTACGGATGTAAGTGTCCAAAATATATCATGCAGAAAATAAGAGTACTTACTTCTGTGAGTCAAAAAACCGTGAAATTGACACTATATGCTCTTGAATATTATGCTTTTGCCAACTTATCTTCCGCACAAGCATTTGAAAAGGAAATTGTACTCCTTTTACATAGACAGATTAATGTAATATGTTTATGACACTTCAAAAATCTCAAAAAGTATCTCGTTAAAAAATTCTGACACAGTAAACTTTTATGTAAAATTAGATTTCGAAAAAAAAGCAAATCTAATCTCGATCAAAATTTTAGAAATTAATTTTAAGTAAAGAGTTTGAGTTTCACGGATTCATTTTAATGGTCTAGATCTTCCAATTGACAAACTTAATGCTAGGGCTTGTTTTATTATAAGACAAAATTCTTTTTAAAGATAAAAATTTTAACTCTGACTGATTGTAAACAAAGTTTTCAAGATCATTAGGATTAATATTTGATGTTTCAAGTTAACAACACTGTAAGTTAACCAAGGCTGTTCAGCTAAAAATAAATTAGTCTTAATAAGAAAACAGACGAAATATTTCTAAAAGAAATGGAATATCAAACTTAAGAATTAAAACTGGATTGCTTATAAAATTTCAATATTAAACAAATTACTTAAGATATATTCATAACAAGCACTATCAAGAATTTTTAAAGCTTCTTAAAGCCTTTTAAAGAAATTTCATTGACTTCCCAAGTAACCAAAATGTTCCATATAATCTTCCTTCGACGTCGATAGAAGATCAAATGTATCATTATTTATTATATGGGCAATTCTACGAAAAGGTTTCCACAATGATTCAGATTTGAAAAAAATGTTCAAAAATTCAAAAATAACAAGTTAATTAAACTATATGTTTTAAATGCCAGATTAAAGAACATGATGTGTTTTATGTTCTGTAAAAATATCACATTCCAATTTGTTGTCTAATTCACAAAAATTCGATTTTAAGATGCCAATAAATTTGTTTACAAAATGACAACAAATATTTTTCTTAAATTTTTTCTCCTTTCCACTTCAAATTTCTTGTTTTAATCCTGATAACCAGCTTAATTAAGCTTAGTACTTTGTGTTTGTGTGAAGAAACCAAAAGAAAACCTATTAATTGGGCGAATATACATGATTAATTTTTTTGAAATTTACCAAGACTTTAAACACTCATAAGTTAAATTCGCGTCTTTCCGCTTCTACCAAACCTATTTAAATATAAAGAACAAAGTCTAATTAACCTTCCATATTAATGTGTACATGCCCAAATATGCCCGAAGCGAGATATTTGCGATTGAAAATTAGTTAATTTTTCATACAAATTACTATCGTGCGCCAAATTTTTTGATAAACATTTGTGAAATTTGTAAAAAAAACTTATTTATCCTCAATTTCATGACTTAATATTTTGAGGAATCAATAATCAAGTAAGATTAAAGGCATTAAAAGTCCTAAACTAGAGAATATCAATAAAAAATTTCATTACTTCAATGTGTCTGAAAAATATTATGCACAAGGATTATTTGAACATTTTTTTCAAATCTGAATCATTGTGGTTTCATGAAAATAATCCGTGTCAATTGCATGAATCTTTTAATTATTTTATTTTCATTTGTGCATAGTTTTTCAAAAATCTAATTCTCATTTCCTTTTCTATTGGTTAAACTGTGAATTATGATTACATCTGCACTCAAATTACTTAGCTATGGCTTGAGAAATTCATGGTTTTAATTTTAATATTTGGTAGTTTTTTTTGGAATTGTCTCCAAGTTACTCTGTTTCACTTATGAAATTTTTCGTAGAATCTAAATTGCAGCTTAATTAAGGCTTCCACAAATATGATTTTGACATCGTTTTGAAGCTTTTACTTTAAGCTACAACTTTGTATACTTAGTATTACTGGAAATTTTACCACCTTAAGTTATTAATGAAAACATTTTGGAAATTTGGGCGAAAAAATTCATGTGAAACAGAGTAATTTTTCGTAGAATGTAAATAATTCTTTAATTAACCATTCTTAATATGTTTGGGTGAGAAGAATATGTAGATCTCGGTAAAATCTACTATTAAATACATGAAACATGGAGAGTAATGCAACTGATAAAGAGAAATATAGATTTGGAGACAAATTTGTAGAAAAAATCATTCGTAGAATCGTTCATATGTAAAATACTTGTTTTACAAACATGTAACAAAAGTGTTCCATCTAAGTATTACCCAAGCCCGCTTAGGTTCAAATCCTATGAAAAATCATCCAAAAAATATTTTTGTGCAGGAAAATAATATTTGTTCTAAATTTGGCATTTGTCATATACTTCACAAGAGCTCGCAGAAATCACTATTATAAGTTCTCTCTAAATTTGTATGGGGCTTTCAATTAATTATTAATCTTCCTCAGGTTTATGTGCGAGTCTTGGGCGTTCATCAGTATACGGCTTAATTAAATTAAGTCCTTTTTGTTCTTTTCGTAGTGTTAGTGTACTTTAATTAAGTGCACACTAATACTTTTACAATAATTTACACAAACAAAAGAAAAATACAAAAGAACACGTGGAATTTAGCACGTGTTTTATCCAAAAAAAAATAATCCATTTGTTTTCCATTTGTATTCCTTCGATGTCTTATTGCATTGTCTATTTATCTTCCAATTTCATTGGACATCATCTTCCGATGGATAATACATGGATAATACATATGTATCATTCATGGAAGATTCTCATGGAAAACATTGATCTACCTTTTGGTTACTTGGATTGCAAACCCAAGAGAGAAGAAAAATATAAAAAATTTCAAACAAACATCAAAGCTGGATCATTGATAATGTCAAGTAAACAAAATAACGTTATGAAAACAAAGTCCTTCCTTGAATGTTGACATTTAACTCCATAACAGCCCTAAAATTCTTTTTTTATCCCTTTTAGCATACACTGTTGAGTTATAATTAGAAAATGAATTTTTTATGTCCTTCCATGTTTTTTTCTCTACATCATTCTCATCTTGTAATTACATCCTGACATTTTCAACACATGTTAACATTAACATTATTTTTTTTACAGCAAAAAGGCCGCCTGTAGAGGAGACAGCATCATTTCTACAGAGTCTTCTCGCCAGTCATGGTCCAAATTATCTCGAGAAACTGTTCGGCAGCAAAGCGAGAGATGCTCTTGCACCATTGGGTGGAGTTGAGAAGGTTGCTATCGCCCTTAGCGAAAGTCAAACCATTGAAGGTAAATAATCGGTCCATCTCATGAAAATTTATTTTCTTTTCCCATGACTTTTTATGGGTATTTTATCATGGGAATGAACAAGGGATGTTTGGATGTTAAAGTTCACTAACGACCCAACCACAGAAGATGTACACATTAAGTAAGAAATGAAAATGCCAGATTTTTATATTCTTGTGTGGATAGAATGCTTGTACAGGAAGGTGTAGGAGTTTTTTGAAATATCTTTTCGAACTTAATTAAGTGAATAAGCTTACAATGAATATTAAATAGTTGTTTTTGGATTCTGTGGAGGTTGAACTGCTCTTAATTGTATGTAGCAATGCAAATTTAATAAGGCTCTCTGGCATTTGTAGACATCTTAAAGAATTTTTAAACTTTCTTAATTTGCTTAGGTATTTGGATATAGAAATTTCTTTACATAATCTAATTTTGTAAGCAATAATAATCCACAGATTTGGTATGATCCTTTTTTACGCTTTTACGACCACTTTGGTATTCTGTTTTATAGAAAAGGGACGAGATTTTTAAAGATATCTACGATCTAATGCTTACAATTGGATAATATTTGGTGCTATTTTGCTGAGATTCTCCAATAATAGTAAAATAAAATTAGGTAGACTATGTTATGACTTTGGAAAGTATTAAAATTTTACATAGATTGGTTGGAGAAAGTTTTATGACTTTTTTTGAATAGATCAATGCACATTGTCAAGGGTCAGACACTCCAAAGTATTGTACGGTATTGTACAATGCTTACAATACTTTCCATACAAGTATTGTAGTATTGTACAATACTTACAATACTTGCCATATAAGTATTGTAAGTATTGTAAGTATTGTACAATACTTACAATACTTTTCATAAAAATTTACAATACTTACAATACTGAAATTTAATTATTCAAGAACCAAATTTTAAAAGAAATTAAATATTTTTTGAGTTTTCAACAATTTGTGAAACCAAATTTAATACTTTTTTTGACAAATATTGATAAATAACAATTTTTTTTGATAAATTAACATTATTATTGAAAATTAGCATGGATATTTTATGAAAAACCAGCACAAATTTCAGTTTTCCATTAAAAGAGCGAATTTCTGATTATGGATTGACTATAAAAATGGTAAAAAGTTCAAAATTCTTTTGTAAAGCTAGACTGATGCAAATCAAGAATTGATTTCATACAATTCTCATGCATAAAACCGTACAGGTACGAAGTTGATTATGTAAACTAATATTAAATGTCAATAAGGAATCAAAATTAAATAGATTGGTTTCATTTTCACAAGATTTATCACTTTTTATAGCAATCTGCATTACGTTTTATACAAATTTTTTGATCAAAGTATAAGGTTTTAAGTGTATTCAAACATTACTTTGACGATTTGAATTTTTTTAACCTCTGACAAGAAGGCGATTAAGAAGAAATCAAATTTAACAAACTTATCAAATGGTTTTTATAGCGTTTTTTTTTTTTGAAAATACATATTTTCAACAACTGCATCTCTAAGACAATATAAAACTGTATATTTTTTCTTCTTTCTTTGTCAAAATTATTCTTATTTTTTTTAGTTCTTATAGTTGATACTAGACTTTTACGATTTCCTGTTCCCGAAATTTTTGGGACAGAAACTCGATGAATAAAAATAGTTATCCAAAAAATTTTAATGTCAAATTATCTCAATTGAAAAGTTTCATCATTTAAACACAAAAAAATCTTCCAAATTTCCAGGAGCATGTTTGATATTTGAGTTTAAATTTTTGTCCAGTTCCCGATAATTTTTTGGGTCCGGGAAATCGTGAATGCCTATTTAATACAAAAATATATATTATTTCAGGAAAATTCACTGAAAATTTCTGATGAAAAATGTCCTTACTAAAAGCAAAGTAAACTTTATAGAAACAAACTTAAATCGAGACATAGCAATGTTATGATATGACTTAAAGCGCTATAAAAAAACTAAACCTCGGTGTTACCTCTTACTAATGTCTAATATTCTCATCTTATCTTATTTTCGTAAATAATGTTTGATATTTTTGGCTGCATATGGCGTTATATTGCTTTGTTTCGAGCCAGAATACTTTTTTGCTATTGACAATTTTAATAAATGACTTTATTACCAAAAATTTTGTATACAAATATTTTTACAATATTTGTATATGTTTTAGACTGAATATTTTTGAAGAACTATAAAATTTCAATTAAAACTTAAAAATGTTTAGTTCAAAATTGCTAATTATGTATTTTTATCAAATTTTGGTTCAAAAAATGTAAAGAAACACGAGAAACTACATAAAAACCGTCAATTATAATCAAATTCATATGACAAATGTTTCTCAAACTGTCTTGTAAAAACTACAATACTTACAATACTTTCCATACAAGTATTGTAAGAATTGTAAGTATTGTAAAATCCTGCAATACTTGTCATACAAGTATTGTAAGTATTGTAGGTATTGTACAATACTTACAATACTTTCATATGTATTGTAAAGTATTGTACAATACATTACAATACTTTTGGAGTGTCTGACCCTTGCACATTGTATAGTTTTAAATTCATGAAATAAAATAAAATAAAATAAATAAAATAAAATAAAAAAAAAAAAAAAAACTTGAGGTGTTATGGCTTTACAATTAAAAGATTGATGATTTTTGGTAAAAAATTAAGGAACATAAATGTTCATCGAATTGAAACTTCAACTTTAACTTTTGAATTCAAATTATGAATTAATTTTTATATGAATAAAAATGTTGAATGAAGGAATGGATGGATATCCATTTTAAAATAATTAGAATCAGTTTCTATCATCTACCATAGACTAGGCTAACATAAGATTAGTCTCTTTTCATACAAAGAATCACTTCGGTATTATTCAGAATGTTTTCTGTCTGAGAGTTTGTTTTTGAATTTGTTCAAACAATTTTATTTCATCTTGAAATAAATTTGATGTAAGCTGAGATAAGGTAGACTTTCTGTTTGAGTTTGACTTTATCTTAGGTCAAACTGATTTGTTTAGTTTTTCTGTCATAACATTCATTTGAGATTTAAATAATATTAATTGTAACAAAGTTGTTTGCCACTTTTTCATACAAATATTCAGTCTGTTCACCAACACCGAACAATAAACATCGTTTTATTACAAAAGATTCAATGTAAGATTGGATTTTGTCTGCTAAATCCTTCTCCAACACAATCTTCATACTTGTTCCTGATTGTATTTAAATTAATTATTTGCTAATTTGTTAAGAACTAGAAAAGTTCCAAAAACCAAAAAAGTTTAAATTCCAAATAGTCAATTTTCTCCAAAATAAAAACAACACCCATTCCTACTGCTCAAAACAACAACACAATTTCAACATCATCATCCTTATAGCGTGAAAAATTAGATCAACAATAGTTGAAAGCCTTTTTATTATTTGTATTGCCTTTCTCTTTTATTCGATAGATTTTCATTGAATATTTTATGATAACAAGTAAAGTGGAAATAAAAAGTTCCTCATGAACCTTTTTTTCCTCTTCTCATTCACATCTTGTTTGTTTTACTTGATAAATAAGCCCTTTTATGGATTTTTATGTTACTTGTTGATATCCAAAAAGCAAAAGTTTTCTCATTCTTTGGATGTGGAAATAAAAAGCCTTTTACATTCATTGACTTCATTGTAAGCATAAACATTTATCCTCATTCTATTTTCTCTTTCCTTTCATTACAGATTTCGGTGCAGCGTTGCATCTTATGCGATCTGATTTGGAGCATCTTCGTTCTGTTTTTATGGCTGTTGAGAATGGTGATTTAGGAATGCTGAAATCTCTTGGTATTAAAGATTCAGAGCTAGGCGATGTTAAATTTTTCCTCGAGAAATTGGTGAATACAGGATTCTTAGATTGAGTTGCACCAGAGCCGTTATCGCCATTCTATTATTCTATCGTTCCAATCGGTCCACAATTTTATAGTTATTTGGGTACTGGGTTTGACGGCTATAATTATTAAATATATCTTTGCTTTTAATTCTACTTCTTCAATATTACGTTTGGGATCATTCACAAGTGATGTCTAGTAATTTATGGGATTTGAACTTGTAATGTCGTGAGCATTGTGAAAGTAATTGACATTCTATGCGATGATTGAGATATCAGCATCTAGTGGGAGTTGAACTTACTTTCACTCAAGAGAGAGAGGACTTCAACTTTTATCCGTGAAGGCCCTAGGCTGGCATTTTAGCTCATTTTATATGGCTCAATATCCAACTGTGACACCCAAAACCTCTCTTCTGACAAGATAAATGGTGTCTGACACACAGCTAGACCCCATCAAATACTGGACATAACAAGTGAATGATCCCTTTGTACTTAATTAAATTATCAAAAAAAAGTAAGAAAAAAAACCGAGACAAAAAACATTAATTAATTAATGATAAGAATGATAAGTGATAAGAAATTTATTAATTAATTTTATTCAATGACATATCAGTTATAGAAGTGAAACTTATACTTTTGGGACTTGTCGGAAGTGACTTTCCATAGGCCACTAAATGATTGATGGAAATTTCGTAGCAAAAAAGAAGAAAATTCATATTTTTTTATAACTGACACAAAATGTGAAAATGCGAAAATTTCCAACAATAATCATTTAAAATGTTACGGAAATTCCTTTCCGACAACTTTTTGGCATCCACCCTACTCCGACTTTACATAATCTCATTTATCCGCAGGAGCAATTATATGAAGCTTTTGAACGTTTAAAAGAAGGGATTATGTTAACAGTATATCGCGCCTGTATAAATTTTATTAACATTCATTCATCATGAATAACTCATGCAAACACTTTCGCATATATTTATTATATTTCTGTGTGAAATCAATATTAATTCAATCCCTTTTGCTGCCATGAGCATATTTTCACTTCACACTCTCTTTCTCTCTCTCGTTCCGCAACTTTATTACCTTTATTTTATTATTTCATTTCACATAGTAATGCAATTTATTGTGTGTATACTGTGAATGAATGGATATTGATTTAGCTACTTATTTTATTAGACTTTCGGAATGAGGAGTAAAAGGGATTGATGATCTCATATTTTATGATAATGTATAATTAACTGCCAGATACATGTGTGAAATTTGAATACAGACAAGCTTACATTTTGTTTTATGATGGTGATAATCTTTTAGGGAAACAGAGAATTTCCATTTTTCACAGTATCTGTTTGGCTGTTCAAGCAGTTATGCGGTTTGTCACGTAATTGGGTGTTATGGTCACCAGAAACTAGGAGTAAAATGAATTTACTCTTAAATGAGTGAATCTTTATGCCTAGCTGTAAAATATGATGACTGAACAGAGCTGGACAACGCTACTTCATAAGAGTAGTTTGTATAATTTTTGAACAACATCCAGTCTAGGAACTTAAAAACAAGGAAACCATAAACCAAAAGTACTCATTGATTATATTTCATGCATTTAGGAAATCACTCTTTAAAGCTTTAATGTATAAAAATTGTCTATATTGTCCATTTTGAACCTCACAAGATTTATATCATAAGTGTAGAGTCTAAACACAGTTCAAATATACTTTAATATAATCAATCGTTTTATTCGACTCTTCTATACTTAAATATCTATTCAAAAAGTGACCGTTATTTCGCTCAATGTAGCTTCATCCCCTCAATCTTAATGCAGCTTCAGACCCCTACAATAAGTAGCTAGCTTGATTGAGCAGAAAATAACTTTTGGGCTATTCCAAGCTTTAACTGTATCAAATTTCAATATAATCTATCATTAAAGAGTCTTATCATCACCCATAAACTTATGTCAGTAAAATAAATCACTCCAAACACGACTTTGTAGCACATATCATTAAACTGACACAAGTCTCGTTCTGAAAATGACTAATTACTGAGATATAATCTAAACAACAGCAAAGAAGATGTCGTTAATGGTTCTTTATGACTCATATTCACGAGCAAACAACTGATATCATGTCTTACAGGCAAGGTTACCAAGTTTTTGGAATGGGACTGAAAATGACATGGTTACAATAATTATTCGTACGAAACAATTGTTTATATTCAAAAATGTAAATAATGAATGGTTATCGGCAATCAACCGAAAAGCTCACAAAAGGAACAGCGTGAACAATTTTCATCAATATGAAATTGGTTTTTCACACCAGAAATTACCGCAATTACATTCCATCCATCACGTAAAATTGTGAAACAAAAAGAAAAAAAAAGTTTTTTTATTGATTTTTATATAGCCTGAAGTTGTTGCTTTGAAATATTAATGATCAATTCAGAACTGAAAATTGTTGTACATAGTTTATTGCTCGATACGATGAGTGGAAAACATGTTTATGAGCTTCCAATCAATGTGTCTAGTTAAGGAAACTTAATGTCTAAAAGTTTCAAACTGTCATGAAGTTTCTGAAGTTTTGGGAAGTATCAATTGACTTTGGTTAAAGTTTGGGTAGAGAATGTTTACAAAATTATGGTTTTGATCATAAACAAGTCTGTATAAATATGGCATTGTTGTAGATGTTGCTAAACGGACTAGATTCTAAAGTTTGTACCGTTTTTGAACTGCAACTTGTAAGACATAATAACTAAACATCCCAAATGATTTATGCAGAATCAACCTTATTAATAGAATAACTAGAACAGACTGATTCTTCTTGAAACATCCTCAAAAGTTGCAAAGTAAACCTATGTTAAAATAATTTTAATGCTGTGTAGACGAAAGCAAATTGATGCTTGATTTTCATTTCCAAAACATTTAATTCAATTAAACTTTTCCAATTTCTTCTTTATCAAGAAACGATTTATTATGAATGTAAATATACAATCACAATTCGAATAACAATCAAGTCGTAATAATTCAATAAATTTTCTGAATAATGAAGACTTGTTGAAAATTCACTGAGTTTAATAACATCCATAATCCTTTTATGGTTTTGATGATGAGCTTATATTTGACGGTACGGTAATTGCTTGTTCGTAAACTTCCTTGAAATAAGCTTATGAATCCTTTCAGACATGATCTTGAATTTTGAGATGATTATGGATGTACCCAAATGTAAGAAACTAGAGTTGAGTTAGGATCCGTCGTGGGGTTTCAAAAAAGGATTTTTAATGTTGTTATAAATGCTCAGGTTTTTTGTCGATTACTTAAAATTAACGGGCGTTTCCAGTTATTTTCTTGGCAAAGGAAAGTGATATTTGAAGGTTTAGACTTTACATAATTTTTAGACTCGAATAAAGCTGGTTTAAAAATGATCAAAAGCTATTCTAAAGCTAGTCTTAATCTTATCTAAATCTAGTCTAAAGCTAGTATTAATCTAGGCAAAACTAGTCTAAAGCTAGTCCAAAATTAGTTTAAATCTAGCTAAGCCTGGTCAGTCAGCATCAGAAAGTTTTATATCAAAGAATTAAAGCTTCGTAATGCCTTGTTGTTATTTTCCTCATCAGTTTTCTAAATTTAGCTTAATGAAGGAAAACTAAGAATTTTCATGATGAATGGAAATTTCTTGAGCTTAATAAATTTGAGTTTGCCAGATGTTGCTGATGTATAGACCAAAATTGTATTAATTTCATTATGCTTCCTTCATTTAATTGCTTTATTAATCTAAAGCTCTTAAAATAAATTAAATAATTGGAGATAAGAGCTTTGTACACAATTTCAGAGGTTCCAATTTCGCTACTAATTATTATGATAAGAAATAATTTGCGTAGTAAAGCTTTCATGACATGAAAAAAATCAATGAGGTAAATGTTACATGAGATGGAAAAAATTATTATTAAATATCAAACCTTTATGAATATTTAATCAGCCTAGACTCTCAGTGAATACATCATGAAATTGAATGTTATTACGCTCATAAAAGTTTGGAAAATTTGTAGCTATGGGTGGAAATACTAATTAATTTATTGATATTTTTATTCCAAAGAGCGTCTTCTTTTTATAGAAGCTTTTTCATGAATTAATAAACATCAATGAACTTTATGAATCTTTGCTTCAAGTCATTTGCTTCAGAGTTGCGAAACAGGTCACCTGTGACAGGTGAGAACCTTTCAATTCCTTGATAATTTGTATGGTTTTGTTAGAAAAACCTTATAAATTATCAAGGAATTGTAGGGTTCTCACCTGTCACAGGTGCCTGTTTCGCAGCTCTGATTTGCTTTTTGTGGGATCAAATGTAAACAATCTTTACAGACATTGGGAATATCAAGGTTGATTCATTGATTTTTGTATTTTAAAGATTAAAAAGAATTATTTGAATTTTTAACGGTTCCAAAAATCTTTGAAATTTTTAACGGTTTCAAAAAAAAACACCAAAAACAAAAGTGTCCCAAGCCTGTCAGTCATATTCGAGATAACTTGAATGAATAAAAATACACATAATAAGAAGTCCTTAAAGCTTAAAATATGTAATGTGTGTCACATATTGTGCTACATTCATGAACATGTATAACTTGAATCCAAAACCGTGACATGTATGAGTTATACAAAATCTGCTATAAATATTTAAAATTCATATCTTCGCTAAATCTCTTTTTAATAAAATATGAGAATCAATCCCAGAGTTCGTTGACAATTTTGCACACGATATATGAGATTAAGGGAAATTGGAGAGCAGTGGATAATTTAATAAATAACATTTGATTTTGATTGCTACACAAAAAAAAGGAATGAAACTTAAAAAAGTATAAGAATGATTCTAAATGGACTTAAAAAAAATGAATACATATCATAAATTATACATAATATGAGATAACAGAAACATATCAGAAGAAACATGAAATGAATACATATCAATTGAATGAACCTTAATGTGTGTAAAACATGAAAATTTCACTTGGAAAATTACAGCTGGATGTTTTCTAAATGAAATTTTC